AGATAGACATCAAATGCTTAATGCGATGAACGATGATTTTGGTGATGAGCTTATACATGACAGTGCATAGGTTGATGGGCCGGAAATCAGTAAAAGTTATTGGAGCTTCTATTTTTGGGATAAAAACAATCACGGTTTTATTTATATCGGCTTCAATATTACCTCCTGCAAAGACCTTTTTAACCATGCTGCAAACAGAATGAAACACCACGTGCCACTGCTTTTGGAAAAATTCTGTATGTAGGTCATCATGGCCAGGAGCTTTTAGAGGGGCCATATCTTTCAGAGCTTCAAATATTTCCGTATCATTTGGAGTGATAGCTATGGAGTCCTGCAGATGTGCTGGAATTATCGGGAAGCAACCTGAAATAGGAAATTTTCCTACCACTTCCTCATCACAAGCACAAATATTCATGAAATAATTAATGCTTCTTCCTTTAGTATATTTGTGTCATAGCACCAGTCACTTGAAGGGATTTTTAGTGACAGGATTCGATTCTTCTGCTTTCGGTGTATGACACTTTTATGAAAGCATTTTGTATTACGGTCACCTTGTGCAGTCCAATTGACTCTCGATCATTGTTTCCAAAGTGTTTCCTCTTGATCTAAGAGTTTTTCTAACTCGATGAGGAGCTCGACTTCAAGGTTGATAAGGAAATTCGAGTGGAATCTATTAAGGCTTCTATGCACTCCTCGAAGTCTTACCATAACAATTTTCTTTTTTGTGCCGATATAACCAAACATTGTTTTGTTACATGTATTTGCTGCTTCAGTAAATTGGAAAATAGTGCCTAAAAGAGTCTCAGAGTTTACCCAATTATCCTCCACCATTTGACTAAAGTCATCGTGTTGTAACCAACTAGAGAAGTACCTGAACTGAGATGGGTGAATATTGGCTATAGGGCTGCCGACACAGAGGATAAGTGGTCTATGATCAAACTACATACGGTGGAGGTGGTGTACGGTTGTCTCAGAATAAGATTCATCCCATTTGCTATTACATAAAGCTCTATCAAAACGAGCATAAGATAATCCCCTATTCCATATAAATTCAGGACCTTGGAATCCTATGTCGCGGATACCAAAATCGTAAACGAAGTCTTGAAAATTTCTGCAAGGTCGAGTAGTAGTTGCACAATTCTTCCTGTCGGAAACAGTAAGTGTGGCATTAAAATCTCCCAAAATGACCCAGGGGTGGTAATATACCCGGCTAGGGATCGAAGATGAGGCCAAAGCAACTTCCACTTTGTTGAATTCGGACTAGCATATATAAATGTCGCTAAAGTCGAGAAATTTCCTTTGGTGGTAGAGATACGACAGTGGATGACTTGGAGATGATTGAGAAGTATATCCACTTGAATTTTATCATGCCAGTATAACCATATGCCACCTGAAAAACCTGCTGCTTCAATACGATAAGAGCGAGGGAATCTAATGGCAGCGATAAAAACATCCGCTTTGCCACCACTTATTCGAGGTTCAAGAATAGCTACTAAATCTGGTTTAAAATCACACAAATATTACCGAAAGACTGTGAGAAAACGAGGATGGCCATACCCCTGGTCATTCCAACTTATTAGTTTAACAACCATAATAAGAGGTAAGAATTAAAAACCATATCATTCCATCATGGGAACCGGTTGGCTTTCAATGCAATTGTTTTGCATGGTATTCGTACATTGTGCAGGATTCGTGAGATTACCATTTGTTGAAAGATGAGTTTCATCACTTACTTGAGCATGGTTTGTATCCGGTGGCTTACGTAGAATTAACTTGTGCTGGGAGTTCCCTTGTGTGGCGTGCGAGATGATACCATCTGCAGTGTTTGGATTAGTGTTTTCTGATAGTACGATAGTCGAGTGTTTCGGTCTGTATAGTATTGAGACGTGTGGTTCCACAGTGTTTTGGCGGGGTTGATGACTTGACTGCCCATGGTAACCTTTGGAGGATCTAGCAGTTACTTTGGGGATCGTTAAAGGTTTACGGATAGGAGCTGTAGCCTTGCTCTTTGCAGCGTGATGATCGTTGGAGCGTGCTTTACTCGACTGTGCTTGAGGTGCCGTGGAAGGAGAATGAATAGCCTGGTTGGTTTTTGAAGATTGGCTCGACTGTTCAAAAGCAGTATCATTTGCATCATCAGTGGATTCATATAGAGGATTGAATCTCGAGCCATTAGTCTCCATATTTTGCTCGCTATCCATAGGAGGTTTTTTAAAGATTTTCCTTTATCTTCTTTCAACAACCATCCACGGTCTGAAGGGTTCAGATTTTTTGTTGGCATTCGACAACTGTGCTTCAGTAACTTGTTCTTTTGGAGCAGCAGATTCTTGTTGGTATTTAACAGTGTTTTTAGGGAAGATGTTTTTAACATGTCCATATCGGCCACAAGAGAAGCAGATGGTAGGCAGTGATTCATATTCAACGATTTGTACATGGCCATTGATTAAGAGTTTCGAGGTTAGCGGTTTTCCTAGATCCACGCTCACCGCCATTCGTGCAAAGCGTCCTCGACGCCCCGTTTCTGTTTGGTAGTCGATTTTAACAACCTTCCCAATTCATTCGCCAATTTAAGTGATGAGACTGCGTTTATAAAGAGTTACTGGTAATCCCGAGAGTCAAATCCATGCCACAATTCGACGAGGGAATAACTGTGAAGAGGAAAAGTCAGGTGACCACGGTTCGACAGTCAAATAATGTTCGAAGATTGTCCATGGACCATCGGAGAGGGCTGTCAAGAAATCTGATCGCGTTCGCAACGAAACAAGGAAGTAATCGTTCTCTATGTCCATGAGGCGAAAGGACTGAGATGGGTTCCATAGATTATAAAGCTTATTCTGAAGGGTTGTGTATCCAATACGCCTCCCAAGTAGCTTCACCACCATAGTCTGATTGAAACTTTTATTGGCAATGGGTTGGACTTGGTCGGAGAAGTCAATGGATATTAAACCATCCACGACACCACGAACGATATCGTCTTCAAAGACTTCGACATCTTCCTCATCCATTATTTCTTCATCAATCGAAAGATCCGTGGGATTATCTTTGAGTAGGGTATCACGATAGGATGTTGGGCCAGGCGAAGTTTCTGTGGCTTTGTTGATCGCCTCGATATCCGTACGGTTGAGAGAAGTGCCGCCTGTGTCCGGTGGCTCTTCGTCAAGTCTACGTGCCTTCTTTGATAGGCGATCCTCCTGCGGTGCTAGGTTTTCCATCCTAATATGTGTATTGTTTTTCTATTGATCATGATATTTATTATTAATTGGTTTTAAGGTATAAGGTAACCATTATGTTTAATTAATAGTAATTGTTAACGAAGCGTAGATTCATTGTCAAAGTTTGAGAATTTTAAAATTTTGATATTTTATGTTTGAGTTTTATAGTATGTAAATAGTATATTTATTTATTTTTGTTTTATTTTATTTTAAATTTTATCGTGTGAGTCTTTTCTCTGTATGTATTTTGATTATCAATTCAACTACATTTCATAATAATTAATACTTTTAGTAATTATTCAAATGTGTATAAGTTACAGAAATTATTAACTGATAATTAACTTTCAGCTGGACAACAATAAAAGTATAGGATTGAGAATGATTCTTCAACTTTTGATGGTCTAAGCATGCCCAACGAACTAATTCACTTAGCATTTTCATGGTCTGAATTCATTTTATTTATTATTTTTATTTTAAAGTGAAGATTGATTGAGAAATATTGAAAGGTAATGGACAGCTTATCATCCACCATCAAAACGCAATTAATCAACAGTGGAACCCCTTTCATGGGTAAATGGATAAAATAATTGAACAAATAAAGGCGGAGTTTGATTGTTTTAAATTTTTGATTTTTTACGGTTGTATTTTTTTTACAATAATAACGAGTAAAAAATATAATAAAAATAAATAGAAAAATATTTGCTTCATCTGGTTGAAATTTAAACTTGTTAACTGTTATATTTTAATTTAATTAATATCTTTATTATTACAACAACTAAAAAAGTTGAACCCGAAATTGTTTAAGAAAATGCGTACTTAATCTGGTTGAAGTATAGATCTGTTAACCTTTTATACGAGATAATTATATAATAAAGATCAAATAATTAAAATGTAATATATATATATATATAAACAAAGTTTGTAAATTTTTTTAAATAATTTAGAGTGATTATAAGATAATATTTATTCATAATATTTCTTAACTATTGACAATACATCATACTTTATAGACATAATTACTAAAACTTAAAACTTTTAAAAAATAATAACACCTTTTTAAGTATTCAAATCACCTAATAGGTCCATTCGCAAAAGGTTATAAAATATATGATAGTATGATAAAATTATAATGACATAAAAGATATTATTAATTACAAGTTGACAAGTTTTTAAAGTCAAAAATATGTTGACTGGATTCATCTGAATTAAATAAAAAGAAAAAGGATTGAGTAAGACATTATTTTCCCAGGAAATGCTCCTACCACTTCCATGTGCAATTGTCCTCGCATAATTGCAACGATTAAAAAGGTTGTTGGTGCAAACTAGTACTATATTATTATGTCTTAAAAGAAGTGAAATATAATATATCTGATATTTATTAAAGGTCGAGTAATTAAAATTTTGAGTTTTAAAATTTAAATATTTTACTTTTATTTATAAAATAAAATCTATTTGAGTTATTTCGGGTGTATTATTCAATTGATTAAGGCTGTTCTATGATCAAGATAGTTTGATCAAGCCTAATAAATAAAAAATATTATCACATTTACTAAAGTAATTAAAGATAAAAAAAAATAAAGGGAAGGGATAATTTTTAATAATAACAATGCGGCATTATTTTGTCGATTAAAAGAAAGCCCACTTCGTTATCTTTTTGGAGATTTACAAGCACACAAGACACTGTAACCAAACATTATGCGACACGTTTTCCATTGCAGATCGAAAATAATCACCACAGCGTGATGCCACCTCATCGTTGCCCCTCTATATATCAAATGCATAAGTATTCTCAACGCGAATTCGGTATCGGTTATTTAGCATTTTTTCCTCTCATATTTGTACGGCCAAAAGATTCCTTCGTTGCGGGAGATCGGAAGAAGGGAAAACACATGGGGAATCCAGCTACCACTTGCCCCTCAGCCTCTTCATCCACCTCGAACGGCGGTGGAGGTGGAGAGATTATGCTTTTCGGAGTCAGAGTGGTGGTTGATTCTATGAGGAAGAGTGTTAGTATGAACAATCTTTCTCAGTACGAACAACCTCATGAATCGAACAAGGAAGGCAACAAGAACAACAAAGATCAAGGCGATGATAATCTCAACGCCGGTTACGCCTCCGCCGATGATGCCGTACCTCACACAACCGGAAATCGCGAACGCAAACGAGGTTTATACATACATATATATATTTGATATTTTCCTTTTGTTTCTCTTTTGATTTTTAAGTTTCTGATTGTTTTGGAATTTTTGAAAATGAAATTTAGGAGTTCCGTGGACGGAGGAAGAGCACAAGCTGTTTCTTGTAGGACTGCAAAAAGTAGGTAAAGGGGATTGGAGAGGGATTTCTAGAAGCTTCGTGAAGACTCGTACGCCGACACAAGTAGCGAGCCATGCCCAGAAATATTTTCTCCGGCGAAGCAATCTCAACCGCCGCCGTCGTAGATCCAGCCTCTTCGATATCACCACCGATACGGTATTGGACATTACTATTCTTTTTTCAACATTTTTTCTTTGTGTTACTTGGAAAATTGACGAATCCAGAAATTTAATGGTCTAGAGATAAACTATGTAAAAATGATTTTTTTTTGTAAGTGATCTTTCAAATATTATAAAGTGTTACTTAAACAATTACAAAATAGTCCCTTATAACGTTAAAATAGCAATACATTAAATTTAAGTACATCTTACAACAGTTTGATAGAATTTAATATATATTTTTGGGATGAAATCGATGCTTGGAACATGTAGTATTTCTCTTTTTCTAGTGAAATTCGCATACTGGTGATCATATAATTTATTACGAGCAGTTGCATTTAATGTGTAAATATTCTCATAATTCACAGGCCTATATGTTGACCATTCTATTTTGCTACTATTTGGTTAGGTACAAGCAATTCCAACGGAAGAAGAGGGAGTTGATCGACAAGAGAACACAAATCAGCCACCCGAGACCAATGTATTCCCCGTGATGCCGGTTGCTTTTCCCATGGCTTTTAATCCCTTAGTCCCTCCAGTTCCGGTTGAAAATCTCACCATAGCACAGGGGAATCAATCAAATAACAACGTTGCAACGGCTAACCTCATCCGTCGGGTTCCACCTCTTCAAAGATCTGATCTTAACGTGAGCTTGAATCCAGCTTCCGAGCCTTTATCATTATCACTTAAGCTCTCTTTGCAATCTGATCAAATGGATTCATCATCTTCAGCTACGAGGCATTCTCCGTTTCAGGTGATGCCAAGCTTTAGCAATGGAGATAACAATAGCATCATCAGTGTTGCTTAAGAATGACATTAAATTTATAATAAGCAAAGCCGGAAAAGCTTAGGGAAAATAAAGAACATAAGGTAAAAATTAGGTAACTGGTTTTCGAATCCCTTTGTTTTTGATGTATAGACTAAAAACAGAACAAAACTGCCATGTCTGTTGTTCTTGTTGTTCTGTGTTGCAACTTATGTTGAATTATTGTTGATTTAGTTTTTGATCTGCTAGCCGATATATTAATAACAAAATTAACTGAAAATAACAAGTGCTTCTACTCCATTCGATTACTGATCTTGCAGTAGTTTTGGTAGATCAGACAATTTTTATATGAACATACTGGGTTTCGTGTGTTGTTTTTGTTGTCTTGATATGAGAAGCGGACATGTTTTTGTTTTAGATTTGTTTATTAAATAGATAGGGAAAGGAGGGGGGGCGATCTTGTTGGTAGTAGTTTTTGTGTGGTGGGTTTTAAGGCAGAAATGGGTGGCGGTTGTGTCGTGTCCTGTTACCTCTAAGATCATATGAAGGAGCACGGGGGTTTCATTTCTATGGCTCGGGACACCCAAGTCTGAAGTTGATTCGGTTGGATTGGACGATTACTCTTCTTACTTGCAGTTACATATAGAAATTTGCTTCCGTTGTCGCATCTTGGTTTTTTTTAGCCGGTTGAATCATTCAGACTTGATTTAATTGGATATATGTTCTAAAATAACTAAATTAAAATAATAAAAAATCAGAATTAAAAAAACTTAATCAATTGAATGGTCGGTTTCGTTTTTATTTTTTTTTTCATTAACTCATTTAATTGGGTACAGCTAGATTTACTTTTAATTAAGCTGTTTATTTAATCAATTATTGATTCCAAAGAATAATTAGTTTATATTATCTTCCGCAACATATTAACCAAAAACATGGATTTATATTCCATGACAATTTTGTTGATTCACTTTTATTTTATTTTATTTATTTTTATCAAATGAATCATATTATATAAACTTTTCAAATTAGATCAAATTAAATTCAGATTCTAACTCTAATACAGTAATATGTAACAAGGATGAAGTCATGGTCAAATTTAGTGATTCTCTAGCTGTTATTCTTAAGGTCTTCAACTCCCCTCCGATCAGTCTTAAGGATTCTTGCGAGAGATGTCTCAGGATCTCCCTACCGACGCATCAAACATCGTTGTACTGACCTCGGCTTCATTTTCTCATTAAAAAAAAAGAAGTAATATAATCGAGTATGGATTAAAAAATTGTCTGACTTTCCTTATATATGCAGCAAATTTCCCATCACTCTCTTCGCGAACCATCAACGACCCGCTTCCTCTGCTTTCCGACTGCATCACGAATGAATAAGGCTTCAACCTATCATAGTATTAAATTGCGACTGAACCAGTATAATGTCGCATTGTAACGTTTCTAAATATTATTGCGATATTGTATCCGCAACATAAAAATATAGCTATTTTTAGGAATTAAATCACGTCTTAACGCCCACAACACTGCAGTCACCGTCGTAACTGAAATTTAGTACGATGTGACCCATTTAGCAATTTCTCTGACATCTTGGAGGGTCGAGGCGGCCGTAGCATCAGCTCGTCATCAACGGTATCAAAATCCGTCATCACAGACAAAAGAGCTTCGGTGGTTGTTTTCACCAAGACTCGTATTGGCAATAAAAATGATGAGTTTAATGATGTTCACCGTTACTTTACCATCTTTTCTCCTCGACCATCTTTTTCAATACGAACCGAACTCGTAGATAAAGTCGTAAATGGTTGAAGATGAACTACGTGTATAAATAAGCCTTATCAAAACGTGTTTTTCAAGGATAACATTGATATTTTTAATGTCACGAGATGAGGTGATAAGTAATTATTGACAAAGGTCAGGGTTATAATGAAATTATGTCACTAATCTATTTAATTTTATAATGAAATGATTGTTTCTGTTAAATTGACTCATCCATTTATGATAAAATTGATGAACAATAAGTGAGTGTAGCATAATCGAAAGTATATTCTGAAACTACATTTAGAATAAAAAGAGATTCGTTATTTCGAAATAATATGTTAGAAACGGAGGATATAAAAAATAACATAATTTTTATGATGGGTTGATACAACCAAATCTTTATACAGACAATGCCACAGTTTAAGGATAAGACTTTTATACATATTGGATATTTATGAAGCAAGTAGATTGAATTTGAAATCCAAAACTTTTATCATAATTGAATCAACATGAAAGATGGACACCAAATCCTTTTAGAAACCGAGCCAAGCTTTGCGGATAGCATTGAGCAATCAGCATCGTAGCTTGTTTTACGTAAATTGAAGAGTCATGGAATGAGATTCTTCGATACGCTGCTTTCTACTTTACCTTTATCACTTGTTTATGGAATTTCAAGTCATGAAAAGTCGTTGAATTTCGATAAGCTGCGTTTGATCATATCAGTAGAAGCATTATTTTGTATGAAAAGTCGCGTCATTGATAGTATGCGTTATCAATGAATAAAAAAGGTTTAAAAATTATAAAAAAAAATATTATTAAATTTACCGACTTGTTATAATAGTAATATCAACATTACGAAATGATCACCGTATTACATCGATCACTGATGTGACTATTTTGTAACAATTCAATAAATTTAATAATTATTTTATAACTTTTGAGATTTAATGATAAGAAAATCATTTAAATAAAATTTTATTGAGTACTTTACCATTTAATAAAAGGATAAAGTACACAAATGATCCCTCGACTACAAGACGTTTTGTTGAATCCATTGACTAATAAAAGTTACAAAATAATCCTTTGACTATATGGTGTTGCTTTGTTGAGTCCCCAACTATTAACAGTTACAAAATGGTCATCTAATTATTCATATGTTCTAAACTCGTCATTTTCCGTTAAAAAATTGACAGCATTTTGAGTTGGATGTTAACTTGACGACTAAGATATGTTATAATATGATCATAGAATCTTAAACGACTATCATATCTTAGGCAGTATGTTAACATATAGCTTAGATGATTGTCAAATTTTTACCGTAAAAGAACGAATTTGGAACATATGAATAGTTGGAGGACCATATTGTAACTTTCAATAGTCGATTGACTCAACAAAGTAATACCATAGTTAGAGGATCATTTTATAATTTTTAATAGTCAGAGAACTCAACAGAGCAATGAGTTATAGTCGAGGGATCATTTGTGTACTTTACCCTTAATAAAATATTGAAATAAAGTTTATTTTCTTTGTAAGAAGTAGTTTTAAGCAAGTGGTGCATGAAGATAAGCTGCTAAATATGCCCTAAATAAATATCTTCCCTTTTTTAGCACTAAATGATTATTTCCATCCCTTTGCCAATTAGGGAAACTTCCATGTAGAAAACCCTAAAATTAAGTAAGTGAAAAGAATGGGTACACTTGGTTGGAAGACGAGTGAGAACCCCCCCCCCCATTTTCGAGGTCCCAAGAAACACTATTTTCTCATGATCAACACCTTATTTATAGTGGAAGAAATCTCACCACCTTAATCCTTGATTTCACTTGCAATCAAGCATTAACCTTCATCGGCTTTCTCTCCCTCTTGTGCTGGAAAACAAAGGGAGAGAGGTCATGATATCGGTAAGCTATACGCTAAGCCCGTCATGATCTCTCCCATATTCAAACCTAAAATCACAAAATCTTGAGGATAATCCTTACATCAACGTGTCTTTACGTGGATTTAAGGAGGATTTTGGATAGTTTTTGTGGAGAGAAATGGGGAAACGATCATTTAAACAATTCGTAGAACAAGAACTCGGGTCGGTCCCCAAGTTCTTCATCTACGCGTTGCTCGAATGGGTGATGATCTTCATGTTGTTCGTCTGCGGGTTCATTGTGTTCATATCGAACGAATTCGCCAAGTTCTTCGAGTTGCCAATCCCTTGCCTGTTTTGCACCAGGCTCGACCAGCTCCTCCACGGAAAAACCAGCGATGTCCATTGCAACGAGTCCATATGCGACGAACACAAGAAGAGCGTGTCGTGTCTTGCCTTCTGTCACGCCCACAAGAAGCTTTCCGATATCCGGAACTTGTGCGAGAGCTGCCTCCTGTCGTTCGCGACGGAGCGAGACACCGACTGCGATCGGTATAAGTCACTTCTCGGGATCTTACACAAGGATGTTGATCAGTTGTTGGTGGACGAAGACAGCGAAGTTCAGTTCTCGATGCCTTTCAGCGCTAAAAAGGATGAAGAAGCAGCGGTTTTTGAGAAGAGCAATGAGCATCATTGTACATGCTGTGGGCAGCCATTGAAGGTGAAATTTACGGGTTCCAAGGACAAAGTTTCTTCCTTATCTTCCATGGCTCCTTCGTCTTCTCCCCGGGCTCTTCCGGATAACGTGCTGCACATTAAGTATTCGGAGATAAAGCTTAAACTTGATGAACCAGAGGCTCTTGAGGATAATGATCGCTCTAAAGGTCAAAAGCCATGTGAGTTTAAAATTCGAAGCATATATATATACTTGTCTTGTTTCATAATTATACTGTTTGGATTTATGTGTTTAACAGTTAAGGAAGATGGCAAGGGTGGTCCAATGCCAATGGTGCTGGGGTGTGACGAAGACGACAAGACCCCCAACGTTATTAAGAGCAACAAGTTCTTCGGCATCCCCTTATCGGATTCCACCAACGAAAGCCCTCGGTGGAACCGAACTCCGAGAAAGTTACTGCTTCAGAAACCGGAGTTCGCTTCGGAATGCGGCGGCGAAGGCCAAATCCTGAACAGTCCTCGCATGGACCGAAAGTCACTCATGGCATTGTACATGGAACTCGACGAAGAACGCAGTGCCTCCGCCGTGGCGGCCTACAACGCGATGGCGATGATCACAAGGTTACAGGCCGAGAAAGCGGCGGTTCAGATGGAGGCGTTGCAGTATCAGAGGATGATGGAAGAACAAGCCGAGTACGATCAAGAAGCACTCGAGGAGATGATCAATCTGGTGGCAAAAAGAGAGGAAGAACTCAATGAGTTAGAGACCGAACTCGAGGTTTACAGGGCGAAATATGGGGGTTTACAGGAAAGTGATTTTGAAAAGCATGCACCAAGAGACGAGAACCATGAAGGAAACAACAACAACAACAACCAAGCGATGAAACCGACGGCGGTTTCATCCTCCAACGGCAAACCCGAAACCGCCTTCACTAGTACTACCGCGGAGACTCAGCAAGATCAGGCCACATCAAATTCCAGTAAACAGGAGAAGGTCGAAGCGGCGGAAATAGTGGGATCGGAATCGAATTCGGCGGTGGAAAAGACAGGAGGGGAAGTCAGCGCCAGTGCGAAATCAAAGAAAGCGATGCGTCAAATGGACCGGTTGAAAATTCTAGAGAAGAAGATGCATATTTCAACAATGGGAAGGCATGAAAGGCAAAATGTTGAGTTTGAGGACGAGTTTGAAGAAGATCAGTAGCGGATTAGCTACAATAGTTTGCCAATTTACTGGCTCTATTTTGCTATATGTCATGCTCTTTAAACTACTATCTTCAGATTCACAACACACTTTTATCATCCTATTGCATTTCTTTTTTGTTTTTACTATATTCAACTGTTAAATTTAAAAAAAATTTAAACAGATTTTAATGATTAAATTTGAACATTTTTTTTTATAAAATATTAATGTTGCATGACATAGCAATGATCACCTAAAATTTTAAAGAATTAAAATAATTAAAATAATTTTATTGTTTAATTTTTTTTTATTAAAATTAATAAAAATTTAAAAATACCTTTTCACAATATTATAATATAACATGTGAGATTAACTGATTTAAAAATTATTAAATTTAATGATCAACATTAGTAGAAGAATAAATTAATAAAATTTAAGACAATTACTTTTTTTGAATAAATTGAAATCTTTCGACATGTGCTCTATTCAAAAGAGAAAAGGATTAAACGATAATTCAAAATTCTAATTATAAAATTTATTGAGGAACTTTGATCATAAAATAGAATAGAATAATATTACTAGATTTAAACAACACGTTACGCAAGTTATTAATAAATTAAAAAAAGTAAATAATCACCTAAGATTATTTATAAAAAAAAATATTTCAACTAAACCTAAAAAATAGGATTGTTTTTGTCCTCACCCACTAAATCGTTCAAAAGAGAAAAGGAAGGATTAAATGGTAATAGAACATTTCAATTAAGCCTACTACTAATCCCAATCATTTATAAACACATATTTTCAAATCCAGTGGCACGAGTGAATCATCACAATAATGGGTGATGTAATAGTTAAATGGAAGATTAAAGACCACGTATAATCAACATTTTACAAGAAAAAGAATGGAACATGCAGCCCAAAATGACTCGAAACAGGAGAAAAAGAAAAATTAAAGGAAAACAGGAAAAAAATATTATTCTACAGATGAAGCCTATAGACTCGTATGAATGCAGCATAACAACAACCAAAAAATGATTAAAAGAAAACAATGGTTTCTTTTGTCCTTCCCTCAACTAGATGGCAGGATTCTCTGATTTTGTAAGGCACATCTACAAAAACACAACACGAGATACAGCATTTCAGCTGGTAATGCGTAAGATACGGGAATTATAAAAAATAATCGGGGGTTCTACGCGTGGTATCCGGTTCAATCTGACGAGGAGCCGGGTCAAACTGAAGAAAACTTTGCTCCATATTCTCCCCTATCTCAAGAATTGCAGCCATATTTCCACAACGGTAGCAGTAATTTGGTGCACTAAACACCGTTACCACATTCTTGTCCTGCAGTAATAATGATAATACAGAGATCAACTATACACAATCTGTGAGAATAAATTGTTCAAAATACGTTTCTATTTTTGCGATGGACCCACAAACCTGGGACCAATTATAGCCTTCCATTACAAGCTGGTGAGCTCTAGAAATCAGAGTGAGCCCATTAGTGTGATTGAACTGCCCAGAAATATCCTGTCCGAAGGTATACCCTGCTCCCCGAGGAGATATTCCCCATCCACATCGGTCATCAGGATCAGACCATAAGAGATCACACATTGGACCCTCATGAGGAACCTACGCATCCAATAAATGTGAAAATAGTACAATTAAGAAACCAGTAAACAAGAGTGCCTACACGTTTAATAGATGTTGCTGTGGTGATTTCACCATATGAGAATCAACACTATTATTAGTTTCTTTAAGATCGACAATGACAAAGAAATACAGCAATCCAAGGGTTAATTCATGTTGTACGAGTGATAGTATCTTCGGCTAGCGAGTCACGCACAAATCACATGAAGATAGTATCCACTATGGACCCTATTATGGGGTACTTAACAATGTATCCAGTGAAAGGTTTCCAAAAGTTTCTATGGCACACACTATTGTTTATAACAGGTAGACAATCTACTCTGAAACTATAAACACTTAAGTGTAAAGTATGATATAACTAAAAGTTTACCTCCTGTATACGGTCCAGAGCACGGATGTTATCTAATGTATCCAAAGGTGGTGAGAGTCCACCATGCAAGCAGAAAATCTGCAAGGAATATGAAGAGCTGTCAGCTCACAGCTGAGATTTGGATGGAAATAATCAACATGACAGTGTCAGAATTCAAACCTGACTTTCAATCAGGGCAGTCAGAGGTAAATAATCGAAGAGGTCAGTGAAATGCTTCCAGATGTTTGCATTTCCATATTTTCTCAAGCATTCATCATAAAAGCCATACCTGAGAAGTGCGGTACTTGATTATTGATATGAACGTGGAACGATTTAGCAAAATCACTAAATAGCTTCACACCTAAAATACTAGGACATAAATTATGTCAAATTAGCTTAACTAGTATCTGCTGCAGGTTTAACTGGTATCCACTCCAAATCTCCAACTCTCTTACAAGACACATAAGTAATTAGTTTGCCTTAACAGAAACAGAAGTGAAATAATCAACTTGTAGAAAAAACCTCATGATACATTTTTCGATTTTCACTTTAATGACATTAACATATGATATCTAACAAAATTAAAGTACTCCAAAAAACTTGTATGGCTACTTTTTGGCTCCAGTGTGCAGAAATTCATTTAGTTCGCAAGAACAAAACTATTGGTGCATTTACAGCATGAAAAGGAGAAAAACACTAGATATTATATCGCACACTTGAGTTATCTGGCGACTCTCATGATTGCCCCTTAAAATAGTTATTCTATCTCTATAACGAACTTTCAGAGCAACTAGAAGAGTTACAGTCTCCACAGAGTAATATCCTCGATCTGCATATAACAAGAAAAAGACATAAATCAGCACTGTATGGCAAATCAACTACTAAAGATGCATCACTATGTATGATTTGTTTCAATGCTAAGCAAGAAAAAGGCCAGCATAGACGATATTAGAGAAAAACAAACAGTATACTGGTGATACCAGATTGTTGGTAAAAGTCAACCTAATGGCACTCCATTATCTTTCTACAAACTCCCGTTCTACAGATAACGTGATCATCACCGTGTAATTACTGCATAGTGCTTCAAACCTAGATTTTAGAAAATCTTGATAGTTTTAGCTGAAGGGTAAATTTGTTGTATTTGTACTAACTTGAGAATATCACATATGAAGCCAAACAAAATTAGAATCAACTTTTCACTGAACTCTCAGAAATGGATTCAAATATAGTTTGAAATTTAATCATAATGTTCAGGATAAATAAGGAAATAATCCTCAAAACTTTACATATTTCTATTTCAACAGCTCAATCTTATCCTAGAGACACAATTCTATTCCAGCTCGTTAGTTGATAAATACAGTTCACTCTCCGAAAAAAAATCTAATATTAAACGTTAGAGCTTCATCTTGTACCAAATAATGAAGGGGTGTCATTTCCTTCCCTAAATCTTCCTTTCAACTTTTCTGTTTTCAATCAACAATATTTATTGTCTAAACCACAAATCCGGAAATATAAAAAAATACCCAAAGCAATAAATCTTATTAAAAAAACATATGATTAGAACTTAGAACTAAAAACAATAAAAAAATTTACATGAAAATCAGAAAACGGCAATTAAATGCAACGAAAACCGGACCTACCTACGTAATCGCCCATAAAGAGATAATTAGTGTCCGGAGCGTTGCCGCCGATGCGGAACAGTTCAACAAGATCGTGGAATTGGCCATGAATATCACCGCAGATGGTGACGGGGCACTTCACCGGCTGAACATTCCACTCCTCCACGAGGATCGCTCGAGCCTGCTCGCACAGAGTCTTCACCTCCGCCTCCGATAGCGGCTTGCACTGCATTAAGTGCCCGATTTGACGATCCAGATCCCCGTGGGACGGCATCGTCTGGCAGTCGAGAGATTTGATGCTGATTTTCTTTTGCTTTGTATTCTATGATGTGGCTTTGATCGGACGGCGTAGGATGAAGATGGAGATTTTGGGGATTTTAGATCAGGTCATGGTTAGGGTTTGTGGGAGATTAAATTCGGACCTCAAAGCTCTCTTTTTCTCTATTGGTGAGAGGCCAACATTATTTTTGTTTACCAGATAATTATTGGAATTTTCGTTTAAAGCCCCTGAAGTTTTCTCCATTTATGAATTACCTCCTCTATATAGCAAAATTATAAAACACTCTTGTCCCCTCGTACACATTGGTGTCTCTCGTCTGTATAAACGTCTCTCCCTCGACGATAACATCAAGAATATTTGATTTTCTTTCTTCAAATCTTTTCTAATTTATATTTCTTTAATTGAATATTCTAACACCGATACCGTCATTTCTCCCTCGACGACGACAATAATAATATGAGGAATCTTCGATTTTTTTTTCTAATATACATTGCTATAAACAAACATCGGGAGTTCCTCCACTAGACGTCGAAAAATAATTTGCATAATATCATCTAAATACCAGAAAATAATTTTTGAAAACTATTTTTCAAAAAATATAATTCAGTTTTCATAATTCATTTTCTGAAATTAAAGATAATTCACTTTTTTTCATAAAAATCTATTTCTTTTCTGTTGTTAATTTCAATTATCCATCTTCACTGATCCACGTATAAAAGACAGATAAACCATAAGAACATGGCTGCGATTCAGAAGATTGTCTAGCAACTGATACAATGAGGTTGTCTGAATCTAGTCGGATGGAAAACATACAGCAGATTAGATGATGTGACATTACAAATTTAGTAACACTAGTCCACATTTATGAAACACAATTTCTGCAACACATGTAAACCAATCACAATTTTTTCCCTCCTTTAAGCTAAAAGACAACAAACAGATTGTTCTTGTTGCTGTGTATGAAAGCAAGGGTTTTCCGAGTTACGTCGCTCTTTCGAAATTCCCACCGACGTGCATCTGCAACCACTCCGGTTGCAATCCTTGAGCATATTCCCTTGCTGTTTGTGAGCCAAATATCATTCCAGCACCATCAATTGACTGCAAACCAAGCTAAAGCCCCAGATTCTCGTGTTAAACATATTAGACCGTAGCTCCGATTATTCTATGATTTTATATGCAAATGATTGTATATTTGCTCAATTTAACTTCTACATAGATCCCTAGAAAAGTTCTGCAATGCCAAATGAATTATTCTAAAGGCAATAGTCAAAATGACGAATAGTGTGAATTTAAGTTTCAGTGATGGCATCAATAAATAAAGCCAATAGACGAGTAACATAGTAACAGTGCAGTCAAATACAAAACAAAAGATGCAGAAAAGCCAATAGATAAGGCATGCGTCGAAGGCAGGTTGTGCGTGTGCCTCGCACCTTTAGACAACAAAAGCACCTCAGTCCCTTTCCTGTAAGATTCATTCGATCAAGTGCATGCCTAGTGCACCTAGGTGCCACCTTTTTGTAAGGTGATGGCCGTAAAAGAAAAGGCCCACCTCATTGAAGTTTATTTAAGCTTTACACACACACAAACACACAGAGGCAAGCACTCTTTTAATGCATCGAGAGAAATATAAGGGTTCTAGCGCTTACAGTGTGCCTTTGTGCCCTTTACCACTAAAATTTAGAGAATCATAACTGACTTGTTGGTCGAAAACCTAGGATCATTCAAGAGAGACCGTCCAATCAAAGGAAGCAAATATTCTAGAATCTTCTAGCCTGATCCCTATGTTAGAGGAAACATAAACCTTAGATTAGAGTCTTCCCCTTTAAAGTAAGTACTTAGTTTAAGCTCACAACTTTCCTCTAGAAACGAGAAGAGATCACTAAAGAAATCTTTGAATATAAGTTTCCGGCTAATAATAAATTAGCTTAAAAAGATATTAAGCTCAGGCTCGGTTGGTTGGTTGTAAATTGATTCACATATTAAATTTCAGATATTATATTTACTTATTTGTCTCTCGTAGGGCTTCAATCCAATGCTATGCGTGCTATAGCTTATGTGATGACACAGATATTATACGATCAATCAACATAAGCATACTTACATCCTTTGAATGAATGCTTTCCAAGCTAGGATTAATGTTTATCCTTGAATTCACTGCTTCGAGTTTCATAGACAAGAACTGCAAAATTATATTCATAATTTCATATAACAGGTTAAAGCTTGAAAGGATAGCGGAAATCGCAACACTACTACAGTAAGATGTGTAGGATTCATACCTCAACTTGTTGCTGCAGTGACTGGATGTAATTAATAATCTCATCAAGGACAAGTGCCTTCCCTATGACCTGATTGAAAAGTTTGCACTAAGTTTAATATAATAATCCCATCTCGAAATTTTTGAGGCACGAAACCAAAACATAGAATTAAGGACTAATAGAACAAAACTATGCAATAGTAAAAACCTTGTTGCATCCGGGGACCAGATCCTGAAGAATCTTCATCCTCTCGCTAATCCGGTCTCTCCTGGCCTGTAGAGGAAAAAGTTATTCTAAGAACATGTTTCGAAAGGGCCCAAAAACCTCCATGCTTTGCCATTCACACTAAAACATGAACTAGCAAGACCCATAACTCCAGATCCAAAATTCATTTACCAATCCGGGAAAATTACATTTCTAAGTTTCAATATCAAAATTTGCAAATTTAATGGGATTAAAGGTGAATTACTCTCTCAGCCAAACTATGGCTATCAGTTGCTTGACCTCGTCTGGATCTGACGTGAATATAGTCTTGCTTAGGCGATTCGGCAGGCTTATTATTCTGTTCTAGCTTGCCACCCTCATCAGAATTCGCCTCCACCTCAGCTTTAGGACCAGCAGTTTCATTCTTTACTCCCGGCATCTTCATCCGTTTTCCATTTGAATCATCCTGTTAAAATACTAAACCATAAGACATCATGAATCCCAAACATAAACCAAAATTAACTGCAACTAAAAATTAAACCAAGAATATAGGCAAATTTTGAATCTTCAAAGTACTTCTTTTCATCCTCACTGATTTGAAGCCAAACAAAGCACACAACTTGGCATAAACTACAAGTGGAAAATTAAAGGAAGAACAGAATTTAAGTAAAACAAGCTGACAATGAAACAAAACCCATACAGAATTCGATCAAAAAACCTTAAATTAAAGAGAGAGAAGGAGAAAAAAGAACTAAATGCCAGCATTAATTGACCTAAATTTCCAAAATTTTCCTACCATTTTCTTATCTACCAATCAACTGAAAACCTAAAAACTAAAAGGAGCTACAAAAACCCAAACATTAAAAAATAATATTTGAAATTAAGAGGAAGATAAAAAAAATCCCACCAATTCATTTGCAGTAGTTGTAGTGGAAACAATCTTGGAAGACTCATCTTCAGAGCTAAATTCCTTCCTTTTTCTCCCACCTACACATCCAACACTCTGCTCAGTCACAGTAGATTCCTCCATGGACCCATCTCTAAGACCCGAAGTCTCCCCAAACCCGCCCAAATTACTCATTCGGGGCCCCAACCCACGTCCAGATACAACAGTCGGGTCGGAGCCTGGGTTGATCGGGAAAGGCCAAATCTCAGCAAGGCTGTAAGCTGAAGGATTTGCTGCTGAAAAAGATGACTCATTGATCAATGGAGGATCCATAATGAAGGTTCCTTTTTCACGAAAACTTGAATGGGGTTTGGACTTGGGTATTGGATCGGAAATGGGTTCTTTGAAAAATGTGAAAAAAGGGGGGTTTACAGGTTAAAAAGTTTGGGTTTTGGGGGGGGGATGGAAGAGTGGAGTAAAAGGGTTTAAGCTTTACAGAGTGGGGATGATTGGTGGGGGAACTATTTAACGAGTTGACAAAGGGGAAAGGGAGCGAAAGTAATGAAGAGGTGAGTTCAAACAGCTGATTAAGAGGGATAGAGAAAGAGATCTGATCTTTATTTGGAAGAAAAGAAGAGGGATGCCCAATGTGCATGTAGTTTATACAGTGCAGAAGAACAACGAGGCAGGAGCAAACTAGTCTTTACTCGCGTTTTCAGGCATCCACGTGTAGAAATCGGAGATTTGTTGGTATTTTACCATTTTGACCTAGTTCCCGAGAATGGTCGTCGGGCTTTTTTGTCCTAAAATAAGTACGGTCAACATGGGACAAGTGCCCTCCACTACATCTGGATCTCATCCTTCCATTAAAAAGAAAAAAATGCTAACATAATAGGATTAATAACAAAAATACACAAATATTTTATTTGTAAAAACTTATACAGACTTTAGAGTTTATAATTCGAGTTTGTTTTCATTTGATCTGAAAATTTTATTATATGATATACTTGAGAAAAAAAATTTTGAGAGAGTAAAAAATGAGAATCTATAGTTGTAGCCTCATATGAATTGCGAGGCTTTCGAGCTAGTGTTCTTATATATCATGATTTTAGAGTTTGATTCAAACTCTATAAAATTCTTTTATAATTTCTTATCCGCTAAAATAGAACTATTCTTATTTGTTTTTGAGATTTTTTACGTAAATTGGAGTGATATTATTTCCTTATTATTTTATGATCATGTATTTACTGTTATATGTAATAATATTTATATATTTTATTATACTATAATCATATTTTGCTATGAATCATATTTATATAAAATTTGTCAAATTACAAACTCATATTTTACTATAATATCTCACTTCACTTTTCGTGTTTATATTACTTTTCTTATTGTACTTATATTAATTACGTTATCAGGTCTAATATACAAATATATATTCGAATGTTCATATATCCAAATTCGTTTGTTTTTATTAAAACATTGATTTTAATCTGATATATTATACAATAATTGATTGATTTTTTTATTTAAAAAAAAAGCAATGCCATTTAGTTGAAAAGAGAAATGGACCTAACTATTGAAATTATTGGATACAAATGGTTTGGTCCCAATGATGAGTACAAAGGCTTGTGTTTAGTCACACAAAGAGAACCTATGAGGCACATTACCATCAATGCCTAACAACTCCTTTCAACATCTGCCAATCTTTCCTTCAATTGTCACCATGATTTGTATTTCATGTATAATTTATATATTAAAATATATCTCTACTCGATATCCTGAGAAAGAAACTTTAAAATATATATATATAAATTATATAATTTATTATCAACATACTAAATATAAATTGTTTTGGTAATATTAAGTTAAATCTATTTATATGGATTTCCCCAACCTCAATTGTCCCTCACCAAACTTGCTTAGCCAAAAGGAGACATGATACCTAGATAAGCAAGCGAAAGAACCCCCCCCCCCCCACAAAAAACTTCCTTTTCAATGTTGATGGGTTGAGCCACCACGTGCCGAGTGGACTTATCACTTGTTAAACTAGATCTTGTCTTCTTAAATTTTTAATTTAAATATTTAATAGACTTCTATTTTCTAAAAATTAGTAATTTGATCATTGTACCGCCATGGATGATACCGTTCAACACCATGAAAACAGTGTGTCGGAGAAAGCTTCGGTACGGTGGTATGCGAGCATCAAATTGGAATTTTTAGTATTTAAATAAGCGGTTTCATTTAGCCCATCGAGGTTTTTATTTTTTGTATCTTATCCGACTCCCGGTGTTCGATGGTTGACGATTAAGGGAACCCTAAATCGGAAGCAAAAGTCTAAGAAATCAACTCAACAAGAGAGAACGAACATAAAATTAGAAAAGGGTCTCTTAAACTGTTCTATACAGTTTGTATGTCAACAGGGCAACAGTTTGACCAGTTACTGTTACAATTTCCAAGCGAAAAATGCAAGTTTGACCGCTATATTTTAACCTTCACTTTGACAAAAATTGCTGAGTCATGCAATCTCAAACTACGAAGATCCGCCATAAGAAAAATTGCAGCACCATGAAATCCGATTCCTCGGCAACACGGTAACGCTGGATAATATGGCTTCATTCTGATTGTGCCGGAGCAACATCTCCTTGACATCTTGAGAGTTATAGCAAATATCAGCTATCAAGTGCACCGAGTGCTTTCATATCTTCCAAAAATGCTGTGTACGAGTCGTCAATACTCTGTGCCTTTGGAGCCGATGATGAGCTGGAGGATTCTTGCTTCACAATGGTAGGAGCTAAAGGCTTGGCTGCTGCCGTTGTCATGGTCGAGAGTGAAGGCTTTGGTTTTGCTTTTGGGGCAGTAATCTCCCTCCTTACTCGAACTGATGCAGGGACCTAATCCCGTTAAAGCTTACATCAGAAACCCATTGAAGTCATTTTCCAGAGATTTGGAAATATATCAAGCCCACAAATAAATATTAAAGCACCATAAAAGTAGCAATAGGAAGTATACTTACCATAGCCGTAAGTTCCGGCTGGTGCTGAGCCAGTGGCCGCTTAATAACGGTAGGTGCGGCAGATTTAACGTATGATGGTTTCTGTGGTAAAGGGGGTCGATGTGCAGAATTATAATCATCCATTGTATTAGGGGGAGGACCGGGAGGAAGTGGTGGTCTCATCATTGGTGGAGGTCCTGGTGGAGGACCCAAAGGTGGTCTGGGCATCAGTGGGACCATCATTCCAGGAGGAGCTTGACCAGGAAGTCCACTAGCAGATAAATGTGCCCGCATGTCTGGAGGTGCTACTGGGGGGAATCGTGATATTCCAGGTGGTAATACGTCAGGATGTAGAACTGGGACCATGGCAGGTCCAGGCACAGGAAGTTGTTGCCTGGGAAGAGGTGGGGGTGGCGGAACCATTTTAGTAACCTCTTTTATCGCCGGATGGTGATTCGCATCAGATTCTGACGGAGCACCTTCAGCCTGATTAATTGCCAATTTAGGGGGCATTCCAGGTGGAGGCACCTAAAGAGACACACACACAGAGAGAAAAATTAACACTTTCTTCTGAGCAAATAATTCTGAACACACACAGAAAGATTAACACTTTCTTCAGAGCAAATAATTCTGAACTACGAAAGTATTTGTTCCCTGCATTTGGACCATGCTAAGATCTTTCTGGAATAAAGAACTTTGGAGTTCCTACCCTTGATAGGTCAAGCAAAGCTAAAACAATTTATACATTTTGTAGGAATTATAGAGATATGATTTGATATCATTCCTTTAATTACGGGATTTTGTATATATATTTATACAATCCCTTATTTTAAGAGATCACATCCTAGGATTAGTATTTTTCCTTTCTTAAGTGTTTCCTACTTTAGAGAGATAATTTGTATATAAATATGTAATCTGTCCTATTGAAAATAATATGAAAATACAGAGAATTACTCTGATTTCTACATGGTATCAGATTAGGTTACGGTTTCTTTCCAACCTAGACGATGTCCACAACTTCTTATCCTACTCCGGAGATCACTTTGAATCCAGAAAATTTTTCTGGTTCTGCTACTCAATCAGAAGGTACTCTGGTCATGAAAGAACCAGAAGGTAAACCTCACGCTACAGTTTTTTTCTCCTCCCAGTCGACCCCTAATTGGATCCTCGATTCTGGTGCTACGGATCATATGACTGGTAATAAGGATTTGTTTTGCAATTTTTTCCAAATTTTGGTAAAGCTGTCAAAACGACTGATGGTTCCTTGTGTAAAATAGAAGAACATGGCACTGTTATTCTCAATGACCAGATTTTACTTAAAAATGTCCTCTTCGTACCAAATCTGGCTTGCAATCTCGTTTTCGTTAGTAAACTTTCCACCGACTTGCACTGCTCCGCAATTTTTAATGATATTGATTGTACTTTGCAGGCACTGAACTCGAAGAAAATGATTGGTAAGGCCAGCTTGCAGAATAGTCTCTACATTCTTCTTGCTTCTACTAAAACCGAAATCTCGAAATCTTTTACCGCTTTAAAAAATTGATAATGTTATGTTATGGCATTATCGTTTAGGTCATCCTAGTTTCCACTATCTAGCAAAAGTTTTTCCTTCTCTATTCATTTATAAAAGGCCAAATTCTTTTTCTTGCAAAGTTGGCTCTCTTGCCAAACATACTAAATCAACTTATTCTCCTTATACATATAAGCCTTCTCACCCTTTTGCTTTGATCCATAGTGATATTTGGGGCCCTTCTCGGGTGAAGAATGCTAATAATTGTAAGTGGTTTATCACTTTCATTGATGATCAAAGTAGGATAACTTGGACTTATTTGCTAAAAGATAAATCTGAAACTGCTAGTGTTTTTACCCAATTTTATAACATGGTTCTCACTCAATTTGGGTCTAAAATTCAGCTCTTTAAATCTGATAATGGCAATGAATTTTTCTAAGTCTTTGGGTGCGTTTTTCAGGGAAAAGGGCATAGTTCAAATTAGTTCTTGTGTTGACACCCCACAACAAAACGGCATTGCCAAAAGAAAAAATAGACACCTCCTTGAAGCTACCCGTTCTCTTCTATTTACCACTACTGTTCCAAAATATTTGTGGGGGGAAGCCTTATTAACTACAACATATTTAATCAATCGAATGCCTAGTAAGGTTTTACAATTTCAAACACCTCAATCTATATTTTTGCAATACTTTCCTCATTTTAAGCCTATCTCCTCCATTCTTCCACTTAAAATATTTGGTTGTACTGTTTTCATCCAAAACATTGCTCCTAATAAGTCCAAGTTAAATCCTAAATCATTAAAGTGTGTATTGGTTGGGTATTCTTCACTTAATAAGGGTTATAAAATCATCCTCCTTCTAAACGATTTTTTACCACTATGGATATAATATTTTATGAACAGGATCCCTATTTCACTCGTGTTGAAATTTAAGGGGAGACATGGAAAGATTTTCAGCCACATCAGGTATCTCCTCTTACTCTTCATTCTCAACCTTCAGAATTGCCACTGATTTTGTCTTTACCTACAGATTTGTTACCTGTAACTACTCCCATTAATTCATCTGTAGTACCTATCACTACTTCACCCACACCTACTTTAAACACCCTTCCTGAAAACACACCTACTCCCATTCAAAATCTTCCACAAACATCACCGATCAAACAACTTCGTGTCTATACAAGGAAAAGCAAACATATTCCTGAGGCTGTTTTGCAATCTGATGCTTGCCGAGAATTGGATTTGGGTCCAGCTGTCGAAATAGAAGAAATTAGTAAGTCCACTTCCCCTACTCTAGATGACTTCCCTATTGCTATTAGAAAAGGGGTTATACAGTGCACCAAGCATCCTATTGAAAAATTTGCTGGTTATAATTCATTGATGCCGTCTTTTCAAGCATTTACAGCAAACTTGGATAAAGAACAGGTTCCCACAAGCATAGCTGAAGCTCTAAAGGATTCAAAATGGAGAAGGGTTGTTGAAGAGGAAATTTGTGTACTAGAGAAAAATGCTACTTGGACCGTTACGGACCTTCCTCAAGGAAAAAAGGTTGTTGGCTGTAAATGGATCTTTGCTGTAAAGTATAACTCCAATGGTAGTATTCAACGATACAAAGCTAGACTAGTGGCCAGAGGCTTTACGCAAACATATGGGATAGATTACACCAACTTGATGTAAAAAACGCTTTTCTTAATGGCAAGCTAGAAGAAGAAGTCTATATGAAGTTGCCACCTGGCTTAAAGTCTGTTGAAGGAAGTAACAAGGTGTGCAAGCTCAACAAATCTCTATACGGATTAAAACAATCACCCAGAGCTTGGCTCGAGAGGTTCACTAAAGTCATTATGAAAAACGGCTACAAGCAGTCCCTCGCCGATCATACTCTTTTCATCAAGGTAACTTCTACAAATAAGAAAGCTATCCTTATTGTGTACGTGGACGACATAATTCTTACCAGAGATGATGAAGAGATTTGCAATTTTGAAGAAGTTGTTAAATGAGGAATTCGAAACCAATGACTTGGGAAAGCTAAGGTATTTCCTAGGAATAGAGGTGGCAAGGTCAAAAGAAGGACTTGTAATCAACCAAAGAAAATATGTACTTGATTTACTCAAAGAAACTGGTTTGCTTGGTTGTAAGCCAATTGATACACCAATGGAGGTAAGTTTGAAATTTAGCAAAGAAGATGGGTCCTTAGTAGACAAAGAGAAATTTCAAATATTAGTTGGGAAACTAATTTATTTATCCTTGACAAGGCCAGATATAGCCTTTCTCATAAATGTGATAAGTCAACACATGACTAATCCTACTGAAGAGCATACGGCAACAGCAAATAGAATTCTCAAGTACTTGAAGAAAACTCCAGGACATGGCTTTATGTTTAAGAAGACACAAGACAAAACTGTTAAATTTTTTACAGACTCTAGTTGGGCCGGAGACCTTACTGAGAGGAGATCCACTAGTGGCTACTGCACATTTGTTTGGGGTAACATTACAACTTGGAGAAGTAAGAAACAATCTGTCGTTTCAAGAAGTAGTGCTAAAGCTGAATTCAGAGCACTAGTATTGGGAATATGCAAAGGAATTTGGCTACTTAAACTACTGAAAGAACTTGGCACTAATCAATAGGATCACTTTGAAGTATTGTGTGATAATCAATCTGCTATTCAAATTTCCAAGAACCCAGTTCAACATGATCGGACAAAGCATGTTGAGATTGATAGGCATTTTATAGTTGATCAAGTTAACAAAAAGACAGTCACACTTTCATACATTCCTTCAGAAGAACAAGTTGCAGACATTCTTACTAAAGCTTTGCCAAAGCCTGTTTTCAATAAATTCCTATTCAAGCTGGGATTATACAATGTATATTCTCCAGCTTGAGGGGAGTATAGGAATTATAGAGATATGATTTGATATCATTCCTTTAATTAAGGGATTTTGTACATATATTTATACAATCCCTTATTTTAAGGGATCACATCCTAGGATTAGTATTTTTCCTTTCTTAAGTGTTTCCTACTTTAGAGAGATAATTTGTATATAAATATGTAATCTGTCCTATTGAAAATAATATGAAAATACAGAGAATTACTCTGATTTCTACACATTTACAAGGAAGAAAGGAAGCAACATATTCAGAGGGCATGGAGAAGAAAAGCTAACCTGAGACAATTCCTTGGAGGTTGAGTCATCTGATGGTACAAATATTTTCTCCCCTTCATTTTCACTAGTGCCCGAGAGAGGTGGCAGCATGGACTGCGGAAGGGGAGGAGGTGGAGGTAGTAGAGGGCGAACTGTAACTTGCTCTTTAGGTGGGGAACCAGGAGGTGGTGGTGGACCAGGGGGAGGAGGTAAAGGAATACCCAAGTTTTCTGTGGCAGGCTTGGGTGGCATTGGAGGTGGGGGTGGTAGAGGCAAAGAAGCGGGTGCAACAGAGGCGTCCCCTGAGTTCAATTGATCGGTATCTGGCAAAGGAGGTGGGGGTGGTATAGTTGCAGAAGTATCCTCTGACTCAGTCTGTGAAGATGAAGCAGCAGCACTCGATGAAGCACCAGACAAGGGAATTCTAGGTCCTGAAGCCCAAACAAAAGAAAAATAAAAGCATGAGAGAGAGAACAAAACCAGCTTAAGTGTATCGGTCAGAAGAGCAGGAAAAAGAACCGTGTTACAGCAGAAAACAAATCAAAGCAGAAGTTACCACACCTATTGATGATTTATACATGGGTGGCTTTCCAGGTGGTGGAGCCCCTGTGGGATTCAGAGTAGGATGATAATAAACAGAGTCCTGTAGATACGGGGGGAAAAGGAATAATACAAATTAGATTACAAGCAAGCAGGCCTCAAAATATAATAATAGAAGTTAACTCTCTCATTCAGATCTTACTTCAGGTTTAGGATACTTCGCTCTCTCATCATCTTCTGCAGTTGTCCTCCTCTGAGGAGTCCCCAAGTGACTGCAGCAGAGATAAGTTATAGTTGGTAAATGAGAAATTTTGAAGATGCTAAGACTGAAGCATAAATGAACATATCATAAAGAGAATTGTCTATTTACCTAAACATAACAGGGGTCTCACCCTTCTCCTTCATTTTATCTTCATATTCCTGCGCAAGGGAGCAATGAATAGTGTAATTATCTCATGCAAACAACTAATACTAATAAATGACAGAAAAAAGCATAAGCCAGTAATTATTTCTTCAAAAAAAAAAAAGGTTACAATCTTAATCACTTAAACTATTACCCTCCTCTTCTTTAAGACAAGGTTAAGTGAGTCTTCAAGTTGTCTCTTCTTGTGTTTTCTTGCTTTGTCTAAAGCACCTTCAGCTTCTGTAATATAGCTCAACAAAGTTATTGACTATAAATGGCAGTAAACCAGACTGCATTTAAAAATTAAAAGTTACTAAAGAAATAACCAAATATACTAGAAAGAACAAGGTGAACTACAGAAAAAAGGCTAAGTACAGGAATAAATTTTTCTAACCACTTACAATACCCGTTCAATCTTTCTTCAAAAAATGAATGGAAGGAAGAAAAGGGAAAAGAAAACTTGTGTAGGTAGTTGTTACATCAATATTCTAATGTAAAAACACATCAGTATTGTAATGTAAAGTATAAACATATTTTCATTGAGATTGCCATCTAGGAAAAGGAAAAATCAATCTTTTTCCATCTTCACGCTGCATACAATCCAAGAGCAACTTCATCAAAGGAAGATGTACAGCAAGATGTGCAAATTCTAGACTTTGAAAATAATAAAAAAAATTGGGAAATTACTTAGAGGAAACTGATTTTTCCCGCTTCTTTTGAAAACTATGTTCTTCACAGTAGTTAAGAAACGGTTTACTCCAAGCTCAAGAAAATGACTAAATGCCACAAAGACAGTAACAGAAACCTCCTCAAAGGAAGGCAAAACAGAGTAGAAAATCAGCTAGCAATAAAGGTTTGATCAGTCCTCATCATTAGAACTAAAATTTACTGACCAAGGGGAAAAATAGGACATTCCATTCCAAATAAAATTTTCCAATTTCAAATCAAAACAATCCCCATTAAGCTCTGCTCATTTTAATTAAGTGCTAATTTGCATTTGAACAGATATTAATTCATCAATCAATCAATCAATCCATCAAGAAACATCATAGTAGAACGACTTACTCATCATTTCTAACTTGTCAATCTGCTCCTTGATTGCCTGCGGATCCTTCTTCAGAATCCCGACCTCTCTCACCTTCTTCCTTTCCTTCTTGTTCTGTTAGAATAAAGTAAGCATTAACAACAAATAGAACATTAATTATACAAGAATTGTAAGGTGATACAATACCTTGTTTTTACAAGTTCGACTCCAAAGCAACTAAATAAAATTATACAACGCTATTATGTTTTAATTTTTGTTAAGCTTCAAAAGCTTATTTAAGACGAATATCAACATTGAAGCCGATACTTTCCCTCGAATTCAACACTGTTCTTCGTAAATTCGTTTGTTTAGGTGAAAAAAACTAAGTTATTCAAATTAGGTGAAATAGTTTTGAATTTCTTTTATCCAAACAAGCAATTAGGGCAGAATGAGAGGCGCGAATGATTTTTTTTTAAATGAAACAAAGAAGAATTCAGCATTATTGAAGTAAAATAAATAAATTAAAAACCCTAAAAAGGAACGGAATAATGTAGAAACTTTTTACCCGTTTCAGTTCTTTCTTACGGAGTTCCTTACGATAGGCATCCGTAGGGTTCATCACTTTGCCTCCCTTTGTCGTCTTCATCTTCTTTTTCTCTTCAAACTTCTCCTTTTGTCAATTTTCCCAAATTCTTCAGGGTTTTTTCTGGTTTTTTTTAATGGGGTATCAAATCGCATGTGCAGAAATTACGTCTTTCAGTTTCAGTAAGAAAAGGGGCAGAAAAGATAAAGAATAAGCAATAACGACGATCGGCAATGGAAATCTCTCGTCGGAGTTGGGAGAAGTGAGGATTTATAATCTTTATTCGATTATTTTGTTCAGTACCTGTGTGTAATTCTGTATGTATCCTTAGGCCCAATATCTCCTTGGGTAAATTATCTATTTGGTATATTATTTATTGTAATATTTCTTTTTTGATCAGACAATTATATTTTTAGGCAAAATCATATTCACGTTTTGGTTTATTTTGACGGTTGATTTAACAAAGATAGTAATACAGTTTAGTATAACAATAATTTTAATCTCTAAAATTTGTATATTTTATTAGTTTAATTTTAATTTAAAATATTTTAATAAATTTTATTTAATCTTCAATATTTAAAATGATATATTGATGTTAAATATGTTTAATTCAATATGTTTAATCTCTAAAATACTGATTATACAATATAAGTTCTTTATCCATGTATATATGATTTGATTTTAAATAATTATATGCATGATTTTTATTTTAATTTTTTTTATAATTTTTAACTTCGTTATCAATACATAAAGATGGGTCGATAATTATACTCTTAAAATTTTAAAATTATCATATATTCTAGATAATTTTTATATTTTTTATTAATAATTTATTTTCATCCTTATAAATTTATCTTTTAAAATTTTAGAAATTCGCGCTAACATAAAATCTTTCATTCATTCATATAATATCATTTTTGTTATATATATATATATATATAATTATATTTACCTAACATAAAAATGATTAGATACAATTTAATTAAAATCAAAATTTGCTATGTATCACGTTATACATGGGAATAAAGTCTACGCAAAATATATCAACAATTAGTTAGTTTAATAGGATGAGACATATGATTTCTTAAGCAATATTGGAGGTTTGAATCCTAACATTTGTGAATTGAGCAAATTAGGTTGAGTGAGTCATCCTCGCTTTTTCAGTACCTGATTCAGATTAATCGATTAATATATTAGATATCGATAATTATACCAAAAAAATCCATGCGTAATAATGAATTTGAATCCAATAAGCGATTCTGATCACAAAAGGTGACAAATTCCTCGTAGATAACTTGAGTTCGAATAATATTATTTACAAAATGTACATAAATTTATCCAAACTAAAATAGGACATATATTATTGTAGAACCAGTACCACGTTATAAATAATTCAAACATTATAGTTCAATTTGATTATTACTTTTTAAAAAAATACCAACGTTACAAAATTTCCTTAATAATTTCGGTCTTCTTCGGTGTCAATACTTTTAGCATCGATAATTTCCGCAATCGAATCTTCACCAGCTCCTCCATTGAAAGCCTTAATAACCGCTTCTCAAGCTCATTAAGAACGCCCTAATCTTTGAACCACAATCCCCCCATAAAACTTTCTCGTCCTGATGAACAGCACAAATGCGACGAGGAATCCGAGCAAAGCAACCGATGCCATGATGAAAAACGAGATCATGAAACACCGAGTGCCGTAGCAAGACTTATCTTCGCCGGTCGCCACCTTGTCGTAAATATACCCAATGATCCTCACGGAGAAAATGTAAGATCCAATAGGACTGGCAATGGCGATGGTGTTGAAAATCGTGCCCATGTGTCGAACTCCGAAGATCTCAGCGGTGATGGTCGGCATCAATGACCATTGCGAACCGTAGCAAATACCGACCACGATCGAGCCGATGTACAAGTTCCCGGGGAAACCGGAAGCAACAATCAAGTGACCAAACGTCAATGTTGCTAGTGTGATGACCATGAACGATGGCCTAGCCCAACCTTTGTGTAACAAAATGTCCGATAAAAAACCTGCCCCGAACCGACCTAGGAAGTTCCATATGCTCCACAAAGCAACCAATGAAGACCTCTCTACGGTCGAGTAACCAAGAGATTCACCAATTTGACTAATGTTGTTTATCGTCGCCAAACCCGAACCCATTCCGCATATCATAGCGATGAACAACAACCAAAAGTCCGCGGTAAGCATAGCTTTCGATAGATCAAAAACGATATCATCTTGATCATCCAATAAGTTCACATCCGAAGACAAAGCAATCGACTTACCTTGGTCCGGTTCGCCGCGAATCTCACCGTACTCCCCTTGCTCTTGTACTTCATCATACTCGGTCGGCGGCATTGGCTTCGGATCATACATTAAACAACTTGTTTCGAGTGAAGACCATCCCGAATCCCCATAGGCTTTGAACGCAATTCCGAAAGGCGAGGCAAGTAGAGCCAGTAGGAACACGAAGGTGACAATCTGAGCCCATGAGGGTAGAACGAAGACGTTTTCGAATATTATGATGACCATGAGATACGCAGCGACGATCAGAGCAATGTAAGAGAAACCATTCAAGTGTTTCTTGTCGGAAACGGAGGTGGTTCCATGGATTTTGACGAAAGGCATGAGCGAAAGGGAGACCAGAGTCGGAGTGATGGCGAGGATCAAAATGAAAGTGGTCGGATCACCTTGGCATATGGTGTTATACACTTGAATCAATAGTGCTCCACTTAAACCCAGAAATCCCTGACATCAAACCTCAAATTATAATTAAATAATTAATTTTATTTTAAACGTAATTAAAAGATAAAGAATAATGAAATGAATTTACAAGTGGTCAGGTTTAATTCGATTTTTTAAAAAAACTCCTTCTCAAGCTAATTACAAAAAAATACTTTTATGTATTTACGTAATATTAATTAAGTTTTGAAAAAAAAATATAAAAATTAAAATATAATGTACTCAAATTATAGTATTAAATTAAAATTATTTTGATTTTATGTTATTAAATATAATAAATTAAGATTTGATTTGATTATTTTTATTTTAATAAAAATATATAAGAAATTAAAAATTATGTTAAATCGGCTCAATTTCTTAATTAAATTTTAGGATTGAGTGGATGAAACATTTTAAAATTAAGGTTAAGTCAAATTTTATTACTATAATATTAAATTAAGGTCAAGTCGACCAAAAAATACACGACTCATTTCATTGTCATCCCTAATTCAAATCTAATTTAATTATTAAAAAACTAAACAGAAGCCAATTCTACTGTTTCATTGTGATCCCTAATTCACACTGACTCATAAAAAAGAATTATTAAAGTATTAAATGAACCACAGCCACTTGACGTAGATATTACTCAACTATTTTATTTCGTGTACTAACGTCTTTCCTACATTTATTGGGTAGCTTTTCTTTCTATCCTTATTTGCTTATTACAGAAATTATTACATAAAATTTTATATTTATCTACTAAAGATTTAATATTTGATACATATTAGAGGAATATTTTAATTTAATAAATAATATATATTTTAAACTCTAAAACCTTTATCTAAAAACTGACTCATTAATACTACATATCATCTATTTAAATGTGTTTATATTTTTTTAATTTCATTAAAAATAAATATAATAATTTCTGAGTATTAAATTATGAAAATTAAATAATAATAATAATAAAAATAATAAAGGGAAAAATCAGTGGCTATTACTATACCTTCATGATTCCCACAATGGTCCCACTGAAAGACTGAAAATTTTGCACGCCACTAACCACGTTCACCGTGTTGAAAAACGTTTGCGCATGAGCTGCCAGAAGCATGAACAAGCACATCACCGGCACCGGCGGTTGGCCGATCAACCCCACCACGGATGCCCATATGAAAAAATACCCAACGAAGCACTGGACGGCGCCAGTCACGAGGACCACCCAAGGGCCACTAAGGAGCCCGCTACGGCGAGCGGTTACGGTGGAGTAAAGTAGGCCAGAGAGGATCCCGACGTTGGCGCCTATGTCTTTGAAGACTGAAACGGTGTCGAGAGTCGATTGGTCGTAGGATTGTGATGATTTGAGGATGGAAGAGTAGATCCCGAAGGTGTAGGATGCGCCGCCGGTACACTGGATCCATATGCTCGCCGCCGTGGATATCCATTTGGTGTGGAGGAAACTCTCCATACAAAAGTGGAAGAACTAAAAGAGAAAAAACAAAGAACACTTATCCGTGGAATTTGGAATCTTGTTTTTGGACAATTATTTTGGGAGATTAGCATCCGGTAATAATGGCAGTGAGAAATATCAAAGATTTGGTGTGATTTGTAAGAGAAAAATATTTGTTTTTTTTAAAGATAAATGATTTATTTGTTGTTTTATGGAGTGTTTAATTTTTAAAAGTTATAAAAAATTATTAATTTTAAAATATTATTTTATTAAATATCACAATTGTTAAAAGTTTTAAAAGAATTATTTAACTATTTATATGTTTTAAACTTATTTTTTTCGTTAAAAATTTAATATGTTGATTGAGATTTAATAAAATCTGATCTCAGAACTGTTTGAGTTATATTTTGTTGATCAATTCTCCATTTACATTATATCATCAAACTAGTGCTTGAAACATTATGATGTTGAATCAATACTTGAAAGTAACGACAGTGTTAGTATTAAAATATGAATTTATTATATTTTAGTTAGCAATCTAACGTTCAACTTAGTCGGTCATCAATTTTTTTTTTAAAAAAAGAGTTTGAAATATATGAATAATAGGATAATTATTTTTTAACCTTTACTAGTTAGAGACTTAACAAAAAACAACAACATATAATCGACAAAACATTCTATAATTTTTAATAATCAAAATACTCAATAAAATAATACACTATAATAAAAAAAACAATCTATATACTTCATTTTTTTTTGTTAGAGCTTGGGCTTTAGACTTTATGATTATTTTATAAAGAGAAATGTATCAAATTGTTTTGGTCTAATATGTTTAAGATTATTAAATTATATTTAAATATTTTTACTACGATCACTTAATAGATTTAAATTAATAGATATTTTTATTTCTAATATTGAAAGGTCAAAATTTTAAGCATCTCAACTCGTGGGCATATTACATACGATTTAAACCAATAATAAATAAATTAAATTTAAATTGGCGATACCTTAATTAGGTAAATTATGTTACATGTAAATGCCTATCTATAAATAAAAGACTGATTGTAATACCGACTCTTCTTTTTTTTAGAAAATTCAATAAAATACTACAAAATCGGTTGTTAGGGACATGGTTAATGATCCTTTTCTATTATCAATACTATAATGTTTTATATGATATAATCTCTTAAAAAAGAAAAAAAAACTATAAATAGTATAATATTTTATTATTAAATATCAACTCACTTTAATATTATATGATTTAATTAATGAATAATTTCATTGTAACCCCCTCAGACCGATACGGTTAACCCGATCCGATCTAGAGTGTCACATTAGGGCCACCGGAGCGACCCACTGTAAAAAATAACGGAAAATTTAAAACTTTTATTAAAACATGTAAACTCATAAAATCATTTAAATAGGTATACATAATTAAAACAAATTTTCAGACTCATATATAAAACAAAATACAATTACATGCCCCCTAATCACATGTACCATACTCTGCAAGCAACGCCGGAAGAACTCCTTTATTGATGTTGATAGCTGTACTGATACAATTCTTTTAACCTGTAATGGTGAGTAATAGAGTGAGCTTCAGAAAGCTCAGTAATACAGAACTACCAGATGATGCTGAAGAACGTGCAGATACAGATAAACATATTTTTCCTTATTGGTTCAGATATTTACAGATTTCTTTGGCCGAGCTGAGGTCCTATTGATATTTCAGGTAGTAATAAATAATATTCAGTTCAGATGGAAATATTTCGGATGTCTAGGTTTAGGAGATCAGAATAGGTTATCTAGTGTGTTCCCGTAAAACGAGTGAAAATATATAGATAAAATATTTCAGTAAAATCGGTTTATGTAATATGTTTTAAAAACATGAACACTACCCCCATCCGTCAAGTCCAAAATGTGTAGGTTCTCCAGAACCATACACCCACCGTCAAGTCTAGTAAGGCCCTGAGCAGACAGCCGAGTCGGTAAGTAAAGCCTTGAGCACAAAGCCGAGGAGCCTCCAGGTATTCTTCCTCCAATAATACCCCCAAATGAAACATGTTCCGTCCGTAAACGGATATATCAAAAATCAAAACATAATTCATGTCAAGTATCATATCAAAATCCAGGTCAAGTATCAGATCAGAATCCAAGTCAAGTATCAGATCAGAATTCATGTCAGATATCAGATCAGAATCCATGTCAAGTATCATATCAGAATTCAAGTCGAAAATCAGATAAAATATTTATATGATTACGGATATTATTCATAGGTACTGGATAATCTTATCATGAAGATAAACCCGGATCTTCAGTTTACCGATAGAATGTCAGAATTTAGAATTACTATAGGAAGGTTTCAATAACTGAAAAAAATCATCAGTTATTTAGAATATGAATTATCATGATCATATCTTATTCGAATATTTTTCAGAAGTTGTACGTAATCAGAAGGGTATTCAGAATCCTTTACAACTATGTCGATTGATCGAATAATCGAACAACTTGAGACGAATAGCTCTCAGAAAAAATGCTTGTCGACTGGTCAATTTATTGTCCTTCTAGGGTATTTACTCATTAATACCACAAATTATTGTCCATAAATCAACTTTTAAGTCATCACTGAACATATCTTAAAGAGACGAACATATATTCTAATGGTTTTTATTTCATTTTCACGCTTCCACGATACCATGAAATGCTGACGTACTTGATTTGTGGTTCATAACACATAGGGATGATACATCATATAAGTTCATATGAGTTTCCAGACTTATCCTAATCACTTACTTAATCCTCACTCCTTGAGATTACTTAGTTCATTTAGCATTCAAGTTCATCCCAGTTACTTCGGGATTTTCCAGAATAAGACAGACGTTTCTGAATTTCAGATACATATTGTAATTTCGTTCAATTCAATTTGATCTTCGTGGTTGATTTCTCTAATGAATATTCATTTCTTAGTACCGGATGTGATCTAGAGTTGAACTGAGCTGAGCTGAGTACTTCCCAAAATTATCATCAATCCAAACTTGAGGAAACGAACACACATTCAATTAATATCTATGTCATTCAGGTATTGACATAGCTCTAGGGTTGATCTACTCACTTAAATTGTGTTCCATTACTTTTAAAGGTAGTCCAACACCTATGCTTATTTGGATTCCTTAATTAATCCAATACATTTTCTTAGTTTAGGCCATAAGGTTATTTTGGTAATTTTGGTGTTCAGTTTTATTCCATTAATTTCATAGCTTGAGGATATCCAACCATTCCTGAGCTTGGTGATATTATTGGGTCATTTCCATTACAGGAGTATTCTGGTCATTCCACAGATCCGATGTATTTCAATCATTTCCTTCCATCCTGTCTTATTATTTAATTCCAATTTATCATCTATTCCAGTCCCTTCGAACAATTCTGATAAAAGATATAAGAGCACCCCGATAAATTGTTATTCAAGTATTTACTCGTAAGTCGGATATTTTCGGGTCAAGTGCCTTCTCAGATTTTTACCAACGGAATATCAAGAATTTTCTGCACTAAGTCAGGATCTTAACAATCAAATTCGTACTTAATCGAGTTAAGTACAAATCCTCAAAGTATTGTCTCGTTTAGGGTCAACTCGGAGTATTTTACCTCTCAAGGGCATTTTCGTAATTTTTTAACCAGATAATTTCGATATTAGCTCTTAATGAAAATAATTATAATTTAAATATCCTATGGTCAATTGCTTTCCGAACATTCTCTGATCTTGAAATTATTCCTTAACAAACTTCAAGCATATTGTGCAAACCCCTTTTTGGCGTTAAAACCAGTTATCTAAATTTTCTAAATAAAACTATCATTCCTTATGCACATCTGTAAATATATCAGATCAATATGTCTTTTCAGAGTTATTAACCAACTTCCAGGGATAAATTCTTGTCATCCTACAATATAAGGGTATTTTCGTAATTTTACCCTACTAGAGTATTCTCATAATTTCTCATCCAAGTACCTTTAACATTTAACCTTTGATGATATAAAATATAAGTTACAAATTCATGGTTGATTTCTTTATCACTAATCACAAACTTGTAATTTAATCCTAAAAATTCCTCAATCTCTTATATTAGTCATTCGATCCGTATTCAGTTACAGAATTTCTACCACATTCATATCGAGTGTATAAATTATTCAACTCCACAAAAGTGACCAACATTATCTTATTCATGCATTTACCAATATCAACATGTTTCATAAAGCATAAAGAGGTAGTAAATTATTACCTCGATTTTCGTGTCATACTAATCGACCATAAAAATTCCATCCGAACGCACTCGATCTTGAAATCAAATTCCAATAATTCCCCAGATACATAACAATATAAATTTTATAAAAAACGAGACTTAATATCAGTTAAAAACAGCTTACCAACTCAATTTCTAGCTTCCAATCTTTTTCTCAAGAACCCGAACCTTCAAATATGCGAACCCAAATCTAAAATAAATTTTCTCCCCATAAAAATAACTTATTAAAATCTAAATAATAATTTGAGGACTCAATTGGTAAAATTGAAACTAATGGTGCCATCACAATAGTTAATTACTTAAATTAGTGACTAAATTGATTTTGTAAAAACTATTATGTCATAGCTATAACCACTTGGAAACTAAGAGACAAGATAAAAATCTCACCAAACTTGGATGACACACCTTGTGATTTACCCATTTTTCACTTTAATACGACCCCAAAATCACGTGCATTCCATTGCTCATTTCACGTTCAAGCAAGAAAGCGTGCCAGACGATCGCCAGTACACTGCATCAACCGCCCATTTTGTCACCGTTTGAAACTTCATTTACATGTTCGAAGCATCTTATCCTCCTTATCCTAGATCCGACCTCCATTCATCGAGAAATCTTATGGATCATTGTAGATCTACCAAAAGCCATTTGGTTTTCTTAAAACAAAACATGTCAGTTTGCATCTGGCGACCTTCCAATGATTTTGAACTCGAGCTATGTTGTTCCTTATTACCGACCAAGGGCGGTACTGAAGTTTAAAAGAAACCGCTAACTACCATTCTGACACACTGAATTTTGACCTATCAAAAACTAATGATTCACGATAAGAGAAGAAGGAAACATTAACGAGCCAAATATAGAAGATTCGGGTTTTACTAATCAAGCCACAGTTCAAGTGAAATCATCAACTACTATCTCTATGCAATAAAGTTCAGACAAACTAAAAGTTAATAATTCGAGAGAACAGTTCCTCAGCAAAATTACCAAACATAATATCCCTGGTTTAGCTTTTCCAAATCAAGCTATAGTCCAATCAAAACTATCAACTACTCTGTCTATGCTTTGGATCTCAACATTCCAAAATTTACTGATTTGAGTTAGGAGAAGGAAAGATTACCGAGCGAAAAAACCATGATTCCTCTTGCGCCTGATGATACTAGGCCGATATGCTCTCTTCAGGAAATAAAGCATTGGCTCACTTAATGAATCTCATGAATAAAAATCCAAAATATCTTATTCATGTGTGGTTCCAATTATTTTGAATAGAAAAATATTTTATTTTCAATCTCCTCGGTAGTCAATCATTCACTCCCCCATTATCTTAAAAAATATATATAAAAACAAATCAGAACTTTAGTAATAATTACATACGAAAATTTTAGAATTATTTATCAATTGTTCGATTGAAATTGAATAATAAATACCTTAGCTTTATAAATTAAATACACATATTTATTCATGTAATAAATCACCATACTTTCTTCCAAAGTAGCCATTTAAAATTAATATTTTTAAATTTTTAAAATTTAACCGCTAAATTAGAGTGTTACGTTCATATGTTCATATTTAGTAGAGTACTGATAAATATAAAGTCATTGTTGGTGTTATTTGCGCCAAGCAAAGGATGTTGACAAGAAAGTTTATTAATGACGCCCAATCATTCGTAAGCCGGAAACCTGTAAGTTTAGGTGTGTGATATTTGGCATTTAGTTATAATTTTTTTTTAAACCTACAAGTTGCCGGTTAGATTACATTTAATCCCATTTATAATATTTAATGTTTAATTAAAGGGTAAACTACCCAAATGATCACTAATGTTTGAATAAGTTTATGTTTTCCCCACTGAAGGTTCAAAAGTAACATATTGGTCCCTAACATTATTGATTTGTAACAAATTAGTCACTCAACCGTCGTTTCCGTTAAGTTGATGACATAACAACGTTAACAAAAATGTTAACATTTAGTTTTGTCCATAAACTACTGTTAAAACATCAAATAGATCTTTAAACAATAATTTTATATCTAATTTATCCAAACATATTTTTAATTTCCAGTTTTTATTTTTCAAATACTCACAACCACCACCATATTCCTCCCCCTCCCGCCTCTCCCGCCTCATCAACTCCCGAACCCAAATGCAGAAAATTATCAGCACATGCTCCAAGCATGGGCATTAGTATGCCTATTTTGATTGTGAAAATGAAAAAGAAATATAATTTAAAAGATCAATCTAACTCTATTCTCTTCTGAAAATGTTGAGTGTTGGAGGATAAATATTTATTTTGAGCAGGCATTGAATTCGATAAGGATAAAGTATAAACCCTTTATCTGAGGTTGTTGTTGAGGGTAAATAAATGTGTATAAGCAGATGACTTCTAAAATGCTCTAGGCTACCAGATTTACATTGCAAGATTGAAGCCTTGTAAATTTGTAAGTTACTTATAACTTTTATGTAAAGCTCGACTGATTTTTTGTTCGATTTACAGACATTGAAATCAACCCAAGCGATGAGAGAGGCAGTGAAAGGTGCAACAAGGCAATGAGACAGATGAACTTGCCATTCCTGCAGAAAATTATGCAAGAATTCGAAAGACAGAATGAGAAGATGGAGATGGTGACTGAGATGATAGGTGATGCAGTCCATGATGCTTTGGAAGGGGACGAGGAAGAGGAGGAAACGAAAGAACCGGTGAGCCAGGTTCTTGACGAGATCGGTATCGACATCAACATCAACCAAGAGGTACTATTTTCACCATTTCTCTCACATATTGCACATAGCTTATTTTCCGCATCTATTTGTTAAGATGTTCTAACACTGCTTATTCGAATCCAATCTTAGTTTGTAAATGCACCATCAGGGGCCATTGTGGCACCAGCTTCAAAGGGTATGGTTGCACATGCGAAAACGACTAGAAAAGATGACAGTGACTTACAGACAAGGTTAGACAATTTGAGAAGGATGTAAGTATGTTTGGGAGCTGATGAGGTGGGAGAGACGGGGAGGGAGGAAAACAGTGGTGGTGGTGGTGGTAGGTATTTGAAAAAAATTAGAAATTAAAAGATTTTTTAGGTAAATTAGATATAAAAGTATTGTTTAATGACTTATTTGATATTTTAATAGTAATATGAGGGTGAAACTAAATACTAAACTTTTTGTTAACGCCATCAATTTAAGGAGATAATGGTAGAGTGATTATTTTGTTATAAATCGGTGACGTTAGTGATCAATATGTTACTTTTAAAACTTTAATGGAAAAAACAAAAACCTACTCAAATATTAGTGATCATTTGTGTAGTTTATCCTTAATTAAAGGGTAAACTACAAGATTGATCAATTTTTTAAGTTCTGTACATTTTTTCCTCAATGAATTCAAAAAAGTAATATTTTGTCAATTTTGTCGTTATTTAATTAAGAGGTGATCATTAAAGATTAACTGTCGTTAGACCTTTAAAGGACTATTGAAGTGACACATTGAATTTATATAATTCAAAAGGATAAACTACACAAATGATCACTAATGTTTGAGAAAATTTTTATTTTTCCTACTAAAGTTTCAAAAGTAATAAATTGGTCACTAAAACATCAAATAGGTCATTGAACAATGATTTTATATCTAATTTATCCCAAAAGCTTTCTATTTTTTTGTTTATCATTCGAAATATTCGATTCCAAAAAATTAGAAAGCTTTTGGAATAAATTAGATATAAAATCTTTGTTCAGGGACCTTGTTGATGTTTTAGTGACCAATTTGTTATTTTTAAAATTTTAGTGAGAAAAACAAAAAAAATATTCAAACATTAGTGACCATTGGTGTAGTTTACACTTTTTAATTTTATAAATTCGTTGTGACACATTAGTAATCCTTTAAAAGTCTAACGACATTTAACCTCCACCACATCTTAATTAAATAAAAATAAAAGTGACAAAATCTTATGTTTTTTAAATTTAGTGAGGAAAAGTGTACAAAACTTAAAAGAAAATGATCAATCATGTAATTTACCCTTAATTAAATCAATCAAATTTTGAACATTATATTTAATTCATTTTAAAAAAATGGTGATTTATAACGATGATAAAAAGACTTGCACTGGACACGTTTTGATCAGACCCAATCCGAAAAAGTCTTTTTTCTTTTCTTTTTTTTTATAAGGATGATTTATATTCACAGAGTTTCGGAATATCGAGAGTTGAGTACCCTAGGGTCCTAGTGTATATACATACTTGACCTTCTCTTTAGAATAAATTTGGGAGGAAGTTATATTTTAACAACAGAAAACAGGAAAATAAACAACTAGAAAAGTTTCCATACCTCCCCCGCTTAGAGTTTGCTATATCCTCCTGGCAATAATCCTTGTACTCAAGGCCACCCGATCATCAAACTGCCCGATAATCACACCTAATTCTGCTTTTTAAAATTTGTATTCAAAAAATAGAAAACAAAATCAGGCAGAGAGGGAAATAGAGTGCTCATACGTACCACAGAGACCAAGTTATGTTTATGTTTGGGGTCCAGACCTCGATAAAGCACACTAATATCTATTTCATTATTTAAGGCAGCCACTGTCGCTGCTATGTCATCAGCACTTTCACATGTATTCTGCCAAACAATTAGAAAAGTGATGTGGGACAAAAACTGAACCAACCTCTTGGAAAAAATTACTATCTGGATACAAGTTGCTAAGGGCTATTCTAAGTGATGTAGGGGCAACTGGTTCTCTCCGTGCATCACTGGATGCAATGGTCAGGGCAGTGAAAATTTCATACAGTGCACAGACAACACATGGATCTCCCACATGAGCATGATCTGATGCTGATCTCCAAAAGAATTCATCACGAAATTGCCTCAAGTGCCACAAAGACTTCAGTTAAGGCAGCAAATGAATAGAAAGAAGTTACAAATAGGGCCAAGTTCAAGGATGGTGGGCTGAAAGAGACCATGAATCACAATACGAGAAAACCAACCTGTATAATAACATTCAGAAAATAATTGTATTCACCAACTTCACTCAGAAGACCTGTACCAAACACATCAGTTTCATTCAAACCTTCACAGGAGATCTCATTTGCGGATACACCTTGGTTGTTTACTTCCGAAGGTACCCTTTGTACTGGTCTCGAATTTGAAGACAAGCGCTGTCTCTGTCGTGCTTGGTATGTTTCTGAAAAATGACATCAACAAGTTAGAATGCTGCCGAAGCAGCCAATCTACTCGATTAAAAATTAGGAACATAACACCAAGACCATGTTTAAACAGTACGCACAGCTTCCCGGCTAAGCTGTACAACTGAACTCTATCACAGTAAGGAATACATATATTACAAAAACGGTGAGTCCAATTTATATAAGTGAAATTTATTTTGGCACATATTGAAGCATGCACACATGTGAGAATATTCATGCAACTACACAATAGACTGCCAAATACCGGTACACTCTATAACGCAAGCCAAAACTAACAAGTTAAATAAAAATGCATTACTAACGAGACAGTTCGTCGTCCAAGATTTTTCACGCATTAGCCAATCAAATTGAGGACACCATTACCTGACCTTTGTAACAAATACCCAGGCAAAGAAGTTTCATTGTCTCAACAACTGCAGAAAAGCATTATTGACTACAAAATATTTCTTAAATAGATTAAACATAAAATTTCTTTTACAATAAAAAATTCATTAGTGAAATCATTTTAAAGTCTGTTAAGATGCTACCGAGAAAATCGGTGCCAAGAAAATTTACCATACATACACTAAAACAGTCATTTTACATTCACCAAGTACGTGGGACTTGTATCAAGACACCAAATCCCGACATGAAAAAGTAACTGCAATAAGAACATTACCAAGGCTTTGGTGAACGGCCTTCTTAAGGTCTGCTTGGAACCTTTCTTCATCATCTTCCTCAGCTTGCAGTTGTCTTAAAGTCTTTGTACCACGGTCCCCAGGGCCACCATCAACATATCTACCTTGCTCTTCCACATTGCCATGGGAGCTTCTAAGTTGAATGTTTTGGTTTTCAGATGGCATGATACTTTCCATCAAGAAATTTGTTGTTACCCTTATGCCATCTACCCTTTCTTCCTGCCCATTCATCACTAGGGAAAAATCTATCTTCGGGGACTGCACCATTAGATAGTCCTACATAATGTGAAAAGATGATGATTTCCAGAGTACCATGCCACAAACTAGCCAAATTAACAAACCTGGTTATATTGTTAACCTTGTTTAAACTTTGCAAAAGTGTCAGATATATTAGAAGTCACTGGCACAGTGGAACCATTAGCAGTGCTTGTTGGTATGCTATCCAAATTGTTTGTGACCCCACTCCTTAGTGCCAAATGTTGCTGAAAAGAAAGTTTATGTAGTTTTCTGATTATCTTATCACTGTACCCATAAAGTTAACAGCATAAAGCTTGTCTTGGCATAATAGCATTGACCAGCTTCCCATCGCATCATGTATAAAGGAAAGAATCACCAAGATAATGCTCACCTCAACATCTAGATTACCAGCATCTGAACAACCATCATGCAATCCATCAGCTGCATTCTCTGCATATGCTTGAATAGTTTTTTATTTTGCTCAGCAAGGTGCTTCTGTTTATCCTCATTCTCAATCTGTCTTTGATACTCCAAAGTCTCCTCAAGCTTTCTTTCCTCTGCTTCCAGTTCTATTTTTCGCCTAAATTCCTGTTCTTGCTGTTTTAAGTCATCACTATTCACAGAAACAACTTCAGAATCTAGATGATCACCATCAGAAGCAACTACCACAGAACTGCAATAAAACATGAATGGAAATGCACATCAACATTAGACTATGCAAACAGCAGAATGCTTAATGGATAATGAGAATATAAGAATGGAGAACAGAAAGGGAAACACACACTTGCTCATCCGTCTCGTCATTTATTATATGAAGCTCATTTGCACCAGAAGCCTGAAACAGTAAAAAAAATTAGACCTGCACACAATGGAATATGCAGCCCAAGTAACTAGCAGCTGAATTATACAAAATAAAAAGTAAACCCTACCTTTGAACCTTTGGATTTTCTGAACTCCTTGTTCTTTTTCTTATCCTTGATTTTCTCCTGTGAATGTCTAGAATTATCACCTCCTCCTCGGGCACCCTTCTTAGAGTCACGTGCAAGCTCCGCTAAGAAAGCTTCTCTCGCAGCATCGGATTTCTCAGTGGCATCTTTCTCAGCCAGGTCCTCTAAGTGTGCCTGAATTTAAAATGATAAATAAATAAATAAAGGGCATATAACAATATAGCATTGTATGAGATAGAGCCTCGCACAAATCCAATTAGCTTAATACAAACCCTCAAGTATGATTTCACTAAAGGCAATATTATTGACTGATAACCATGAGCAGATACAAGCTCAAGTATGAGTTCCAACTGCTGCATCCCAGTTACATTCGCATAATTCGTGCATCAAGTTTGCTTAGCTGCTTGACAAATGAAACAATTAAGAATGGTAGGTTAAGAATCAATTCTTTATATTGAAAGTTGCACCTAAAGCAGACGGCAGAACTCTACTGATAATTGTTCCTTCTGTCTCTGAATGGCAACATCTATGCAGGCATCCACTTGATGCAGAAAATCCTTGGCTCTCCAGTCGCAATCTTCCCCAGATTCCAAGTCACGTAGCTGAGAAGTAAGACCATCATAAGTATTCTCGTGGCCAAATTGATTGGCATTCAGTGCTTCTGCTTCTAGTAAAACATGTGCTATAGCATCTAACTCGAATATATTGCTAAGAAACATAGCATCATTCTTGGTCTCATCAAGTTCTTCTCTGCGCTTTCTAAGAACAGATTCATAGCTTCAATGAACAAATTAAGTGACGGTCTCCCTCTTCTTACCTTCTTCAAGACAAAGATCCTCTAAAGCCTGCAATGCTTCCTCATAGCTTATATGATCACATTTTCTCTCACAGAGACTGTAGGTGATAAAACTCCTTCTCCAGCATCTGGAGAATTTCCAGTCCTTTCTGTGTTTTCTCTTCTTTCATGTGTATCCATGGTGCCAATTGATGCCCACTTGAGGGGCCTGAAAAGATCCAGGATAGCAGAGCATCAGCATCCCGCACAAGCTCATTTCCCTTGCTACCACTAGAATTTACCAGTGCAGAATCTTCTATTGCTGCATCGGGCAATAAATGTTCATCCAGGAGGAGACAAGAAGCATCTGCAGTAAGAACAATCTTCTCTTTAACCTCAAGAATCTTAGTAGCACCATTCACATCATCCAGGGGAGCAGTCTTCTCAGTATATCTAGCCAGACCACAAGAATGAGATAAATCCCGCAAGAATTTAAGGATTTTTCTAAGCTGTGTAGCTCCCAGAAAACAGATGCACATGGGAGTTTGATCTACAACATGATTCAGAAGCTGAGGATCAGAAACCAGACTATGCAACTCATCCATTGTGAACTGTATCACCTTGTTAAGATGACTCGCAGCAAGATACTTATGTCTAATAAGCAGTTCAAATGTAGCATGAATTCTTTCAAGCAACCTGGCACGCTTGGCATCTTCCACTGTTGGACAACTATCCACAGAGGGATATGCCACAGAACCCTTGTTTCCATCACATTCTCTGCACTCAATGCTAGAAATTTTGTCGGTCATTTCCCTCTCCACTAACACAATTGTAACTATTCCCAAAGTTTTCCTTCTCAGGAGATGAATCCCATGCATCTTTGAAGCAATCATCACACTGCTCATTATGGTTTCCTGAGACAAAATCCCCTGATAAATCTGAAGCCTGGGACTCAGACCGGTTCCCAATCATTTTAGCTGCAGCAGAAATATCCAAAGGATTCCAAGAACAGTTAAGGAGCATCTCTATCCATTCACTATCAATATTCTGTGGCAAAAGGTTAGGTGTAAATGATACATACTTTATAAAATAAATAAAATGCTATTATAGAATGATTTTTTCTTTAATATTAGTATTAATATTGATTAAATATATTGTCTTTAAAATATAATTAAAAAAAATCCAAAAATAACACCCAAGACATTTCGATTTATTTTAAGTTTTTTAAACATTTCTAAATAAGTTTCAATGTTGTATATACTTTTTTTTGGTACATCAATGTTGTATATACATAAAAAATGTATTTCAAAAGAAAAATAATTGATTAATTAATGTTGAAGACCTTACTAAAAATTAAAGATGTAGTCTAATATAATTTAAATGTTAAAGAAATTATTTGAGTGTAAAATATAACTATCAGTAAGTTATTTCAATGGAATAAAATATAGGGTAAACTACATGTTTAGTATCTAAACTATTACTTTTTTTGGTACATAAACTTTCATTTGTTTCAAAGTCATACCTAACGGTTAGTTTATGTTTCATTTTGGTACCCGTCGTTAAAAATTTAACATAATTGACATTTTTATAGTTAAAATACATCATTCATCACTCAACCATCGTCTCACTCTAATTTTGGTCACTCAAGTTTAAATTTTTTTAATTTAACTACTCAACTTTCAAATTCCTCATGTTTTAATCACTCTAATTTAGCTAATTGATAATTTTTTTCGCATGACTTTTTTTTTATTTTATTTTATTAATATATAATTGAAATAAAAATTAAATTTGAAAGTTAGAGTGATTAAATTAAGAGTAATTTGAAAGTTAAATAATTAAATTAAAAAAATTAAATTTCAGTGACCAAAATAAGAGTAAGAAGATAATTAAGTGATAAATGAAATAATTTACCCATAAAATATGTCATGTTGTAATAATTCCACTAAGTTTTTAACATTGAGGTACCCGAAACAAAAAAATAAACATTATGTATAACTTTGAAATAAATAAAAATTTAAATACTAAAACGAGACAAAAATAATAATTTAAATACTAAACATATAATTTACCCTAAAATATATATGAAATTATTCTAAAGAAATTTGAAATGAATAAAACAATTTAGATCATGTACATAAAACTTCTCGGCCAAAAGTTTGTCATTTTAACATTAAATACATCCTGCTGCTCAATTGCCAAGCCGTAGCATTCGGATCCAATATCGGGTTCGAGTTTTCAATCAAAAAGCTCATCTAAACTGCAACAAAATGAAGAAGCTGGCATCAGCTCCTTATTTAACTTTAAAAAAGGCAGCTTATAATATAAAAAAACCTCTTCTACTTCCTGCAACAAAACTCCGTTGTGCTCCGGTCGGGTGGACAACAAACTACAGCAAATGCATCCGCTCCACGTATGATTGAAGTAACCATCTGTTAAGAGGCTCTCCACTCCCTACAAAACACCCGGAATTGCCATTCTCGGTGAAGAACGGAAAGCTAAAAATGTTAAGAAGATCTTGAACAGCTTGTCGCACGAGTGATGATCCGGTAACCCTGCTCCGCCTGCCCCATCCAGTCACTATATCAATCCTGCTGGGACTGACTCCCGTGACCAGCATTTGTTGGCGAAACCAGGAAAGTGTCCTAGCCAATGCTGTTACAGCAGTTCCATCTGACATCACATGTAAGTTGATCAGCCAATAACATGAGCTTTTCTCTCTAACAGCATCTGGATACACATTCTTCTCCATGGCTACCTCCCAAACAGACCCGGCCTCCTCCTTTAGCCCTGATTTGTGAAGAAAATCCACAACAGCATCCACCAGCCCCCTCTTGCTCTCTCTATCCTCACTGTGCATCATATCCAAGAACTTGTCCACATGATCCCGCACATTTCGACCATCAGGTCCCGCTGAAGGCATACTTAGCAGAAACATATGTGCAGGATGACCTGTAACAGATAAGAGCTGGCAACAAGTCCCCATATCATACGGTGACCTGGCCTCTGTACAATAACTCAGGAGCAAGGTATAAGTTTGCAAAGAAGGATTTAAACCCAAATCAAGCATGCTTTGCAGCAAGTTATAAGCATCCGACAACCTGTGTACCCTAAGGAACGCACTGAGCAAAGAATTGTAAGTAGGAACATTCGGGAGCAGCCCTGCTTGTAGCATGGACTGATACCATTGCCAAGCCTTCTCGATATTACCAGCCTTACCCCATATGTCAACCAGCAGGCCATAAACAGTTTCATCAGGCACCCAGTTTTTCCTTTTCATCACACCGAAAATTGCTTCTGCTTCATCCAGA